CAAACTAGTCCCTCAGATTTAAAGCTATCTGCTTGAAACTTTTCCATTTTCCAATTTAAAAAATATAAGTTGTTATTTTAAATTTAAGGTTTGTTTGTCCAATTTTGAATCCGAATTTTCGCATTTTCAGCCTTGATAGATTCTGCTATGATGAATCAGTGCCTGTTTTATGGTTGAGTATTCGAGTTATAATTAAAGAGCTATAATAAGTCTTCATCCTTAACTTTCTTAAACAATTTTCGTTCGATTCAATACATGGTACACTCTATAAAGGAAAACGGATTTAGATACAGAATCAATGTTTCTTTTGTACAGTTGGAGTGGAGCTGTGGTAGATATCCTCATTAAAGTAATTTTAGTTTGTCATATTATTTATTAATCTCAATCTTAAAACTACTTAGGGATAGCTGGGGTTCTAAATAAAAAAGTTTGAGTTGTATGCGCATACGTTGAAAAACAACGAATTTCTGACGAATAAGTTTAATATAGTTTTTATACCCTTGCAGAGGGTATTATAATTTCAGTCAAAAGTTTGCAACGCAGTGAAGGAGACATTTCCGACCCTATAAAGTATATATATTTTTGATCAGCATCACCAGGAGAGTCGATCTAGCCATGTCCGTCTGTCCGTCCGTCCGTTTCTACGCAAACTAGTCCCTCAGTTTTAAAGCTATCTGCTTGAAACTTTCCCAAAAGTTGTCTTTCTATTGCAGGTAGTATATAAGTCGGAACGAGCCGGATCGGATATCATATAGCTGCCATATAACTGAACGATCGGAAATGCCACAACTTTGGTGTTTTTAAAGTTAGGAAGTTGGGATTTTCTATGGGTTTTATTTTTGGCCAATCAGTCTGACCTACCAAAAAAAATTTCATAAGGATCGGCCAACTATATCTTATAGCTGCCATATAGCTGAACGATTGGAAATACCATAACTTTGGTGTTTTTAAAGTTAGGAAGTTGGGATTTTTTATCAGTATTATGAATGCATCATATAAATAATTTTGGAGAATATAATTTACAGAATATTCTGCAAGGGTATATCAACTTCGGCTTTCCTTTCTTGTTATCCCTAAAGATTATAAAATGAAAGACCGATTTTTATGGGGATACGACCACAGCCCAAACCGTAAGAGCAGTATTCCATTGGGAGCGTGGGCGCCCACTAAGATCCGATATGTCCCCCCAGTGGCCCAAACAGCTCCAACATCCATTATTCTGAGCAAAAAAAATTGATGTATTTAAGCTTAACTTCTAAAGTGGTTGGAATTTCGATATTTGGTTTTTTCCGAATTTTAGGTTTTGAAAAGGCCTAATTAGAAATCTAGAAGAAATTTCGATATCCCCCATAATTTGGGGGCTACATTTAATATTAACTTTTCGATTTAAAAAATCTAAACCGCTGCTCCGATCAAGATGATTTTTCGCTCAATAGTTATTCTATGGCCCAATTGCTTAAGTTTAATTTTTCAAGTTTTTAACATTTTTTAAAGTATTTTTAACGAATTTATTTAGATTTTCTAAGTTATTGCGTTGCATTTTGCGGGAGCCTGCCGAAAGAGCGAATCCCAGAGAGCGGATGCCAAGAGAGCGACGGACGAGAGAGCAACAGCCAAAAAAACTGACGAGGGGGAGGGGTTGTGCTGCAGGGAATGGGGAGGGGAAAGAGGCAATTAAAGTTAAATTTGTTTTGGATTTTAAAAACTTAAACTGCTGCTCCGATCAATATGATTTTCGATCAATAGTCAGTCCTGTGGATCAAATGCTTAGGTTTTATTTTTCATTTTGTAGCAGAAGTAAGAGCCTTATTTAATTTCCACCATGGAAGAAAATAGAAAATTACTACAAATTCTGTAAGCAAAGCCAAAATGTTTCCAAGTTAAATATTCTGTCTCTCTCTCTCTCTCTCTCTGACTCTGTGTAGTATAATAATTGTGCGGCGGCTGATCTTGATTTCTTTTTAAAACTTAAAATTAAAAACTTAAAACTAAATTAAACTTAACAATAAATTAAAATTAAATTATACCAGCAACACACACGAATAAACCCCGTCAAAGCGTTCAAGCCGTTGGGCTTTGGGAAAAGGGCAGGGGGGCAGTCATCTTCTATATATATAAAACTGTTCATTGAAAACTAAGAATCAACGCACAGCCTAAACTAATTAAATGACCCTATTAAAATTTTTTACCATTCAATTCTTATAACACTAAACTGATTTGCTAAGATTTATTTTGGCCACAAACATGCCCCCATTTTCTTTCAGTGGCAAAAAACCCCAAATTTCTATAAAAAGTTCTAGACGCTAAAATTTAAAATTTGGCCAAAATTTAGTCCTCTACATAATGAAGATTCTATTTAATTTAATATTGGATATTTTAATGTTTACTATTTTTTATCGATTTTTGAAAATCTAAGAATCTGCCTCATTTTTTCCTAACGGCAAAAAAACACTGATCTAAGTCAATTAGCAATATGAAAATTTATCGAGGGAATCCTGATACTTTAAGGATTCATATGGTGGTTTTACTGAAGCTCTAGGTCAATTCTAAAAAAAAGTTACATTAGCCTAAAGTAGGAATAATAATTCCAACAAATTATACACAAGCATTGAACACCGAATGCATTCTCTCGCACTGTCTCTCTCTCTCTCTCTGACTCTGTGTAGTACAATATTTGTGCGGCGGCTGATTTCGATTTCTTTTTAAAACTTAAAATTAAAAACTTAAAACTAAATTAAACTTAACAATAAATTAAAATTAAATTATACCAGCAACACACACGAATAAACCCCGTCAAAGCGTTCAAGCCGCTGGGCTTTGTGAAAAGGGCAGGGGGGCAGTCATCATCTCTATATATAAAGCTATCAGTAAGAAAACTGGGAATCAACGCACAGCCAAAACCACTGGTTAACAATATTAATATGCATTTTTATTACATTCTAATAACTTTAAACTGATTTGCTAGGATTTATTGGGGCTCCCCAAGTGGCCCCAATCGATTCCAATTAGAAAAAAGGTCAATTTTCCTTTCAAAAATTCTGGACGCTAAACCGTTTCAGCAATCGAATCCGTGTTTTCGCCCAAAAATAGTTTAAGACATTATAAATTTTTAAAAAATTTGACTCCTTAGACTTAAGGCTTTTTACTATTTTTAACACCCGTTCTAAAATTACAATTTAGCCAAAAACTTCTTAAAACGTCGAAAAATGACACTTCTAAACTGAGTATCAAAAATTCCTTCGGTAAAGTTTTTCCTTAAGCTTTAACGATTCATTTGATGGTTTCACCAAAGCTCTAGCTATCTTCTAAACAAAGAAACTAAGCAAAAAGTCGATCTTTTATGGAATTTAAGTGTCTCCATAAGCATCATACGTTTTCTGCGTGCATATTGCTATCTCTCTCTGCATTTTCATACAAATTGTCAACAAATGATTCCATCTCCCTCCCTCTCTCTCTGCCTTGCATTTCCATACGCTTCCTTAAAAATATAAAATGAGCTTTAATACGGTTTTAATATCTGTAGACATTAGTTTATAGTTATTGGTGACCCAAAAGATTGCAAAGACTTCAAAATGGTCATTAACGCTGATAAAAAGCCAGCAAATGCTCATAGAGGTCGTTATAATGCATCTCAAACAAATGAAGTGGGTTTGGTATTAGTTGATCAACAATTTCCAAGTCGGGACATTTTTATTGAGAGTCATAATAGCAAAGTGAACTTTACCGATCTTATGACTGTCTACAATATCCATTAATTTTTTGCCACGGATATGATGGATATTCCATAAATATTCCCCAACGGGATCCGTTAACAAAAAATGATCTAAAGAAGACTGTATTTGCATTAAGCTTTTACAGTTATCGAATAATTCTTAGGGAGACTGAAGTCAATCACTTGCATTATTATAGAGCTCTGTTTAATCAATTTTTGGTTGATATGAGTGCAAAAATGGAAACCGAACGGTTTAATTATATTCGAGCAAATCAAAAAAAATTGGGAGCAGAAAGTTACATATGTACATCTTCAAGACGCTATAGGTAGGGGAGATGCAGATATGACTCAACTTGGTCAGATGGTGATTTTACCTTCCACTTTTACAGGCTCTCCTCGATATATGCATGAAAAGACCCAGGATGCTATGACTTATGTTCGACATCATGGCCGACCTGATATTTTTATAACATTTACCTGTAACCCTAAATGGGAGGAAATAACGAATGAGTTGTTTCCAGGCCAAAAACCTCAGAATCGTCATGACCTGATATCTCGAGTCTTTCATTTAAAAGTTAAAACATTAATGGCGCTGTTGGTTAAAGGCCAATTGTTTGGTGAAGTACAGTGTTTTATGTATTCTATTGAATGGCAAAAACGTGGTCTGCCCCATGTCCACATACTTATTACATAAGAAAAGTAGGATATTGGGGTTATCCATCGCAAGCGAAGCTGCGGGCATCTTGCTAGTATTATATAGATGTCTGAATTTTAATAAAGTTAAAATTGAATTTTTGAAAAATAATACAACGCGTCAGAAACTCCCCAATGTTACGATGAGTTGCCGAACTTCATTAGTTTTAACATAGGTGGAGTTCTGTCGTTATTTATAAATGAAGGCTGTAGCTACAATATAAACAATCTAGAAAAAAGGAAATAAAATATTAACATCGTTGTTCTGTAATATAAACCTTTTTTTTTTTACTTTAATAAAAATCGTTCAATAAATTGATCGAAAAATCGACCAGGTTTATTATTTTTACGCAACCAAATATAGAATATTTAATTTTTGTTAAAGCTGCAGAGGTATATAAACTTTGTCCTGGTGAAGCTTCCTTTCTTATTGTTTTAAATATATTTTATACTAGATGTCGCCAGCGGCACTATTTCTATTTGAAACTATTTATAAACAAATTCAACCGCATCTTTAGAAACTACTGACAAAATTATAATACATATGCAATTATACAATTACTATTAATTATTTAAATACTTATCTTCGTTTCAGATAAATGTACTATTATTAAGACAAACAAAAAGAGGATACCAATTATAAATCATACGCATGCTTTTGCATGGATACTTATTAATATGCAATTGATCGCTGTTCCTAATGAAATGAAAAATGCCACAAAAATCAATTATTTGATAAAGATTGGTTTTCAATATAAAAAAACATACACCAAAAATAGATTGATGTTCACTAAGTGGCATTCCATTTTCAATTCGGTGTCGAATCTTTTTATTACTAAACAGTAAAATTCACTGTCCTAAATGGAATAAAAATAGCAAATTATATTATCACAAACTAGGATCCATTATAAAGGTATAATTGTCAAGTAATTTGCACCAGTCAAACTAAGAAGTTTATCCGAGGGATCGTATCGTAATGAATTCAGTTCAAGGTGCTATAAAAAAGAAACTGGAAAAAAGTGGGCAATTAAAAAAAAATTGGCTCAATCAGTACTACGGTGTATTCACATTAAGATTTAACAGGTTGATTGGCGTCCTGCTCAGCGGGGCAAGATTAAGCTTGGATATTTTGCAGAAGGAGTACATCAAACAGTTCTTTTTTGAAAAGAGCGTGGGAAGCGGAGGAACTTGCTTTAAACCTATCTCATGTTTTGGATGATTAAAGAAAAACTGGGGTAGAAGCCCTGCAAAAGAAAAGCAGGCTCTACGTCTCTCAGGTCACCGTGTGCAATTTTTATTCAGAGGACGGCAGCGCAAGAAAACGCGTTTTAAACTGTTAACGGTGAAACATGTGACATTAATTATTAAAATTAAACACCGTCCTTTGTTTTTATGCAAGTTGAGTAGGCCAAACCGAATTAAAATGATATATGTGAAATCTATTGCTAGTTTTCTATACTGCTTCAGAGTGATATTTTGTAAAGTACTGGTGTGCAGCTGACATTATCGTCGCTCTAACTTTTGAAGTCTCTAAACAAAATAGTGAAATTACCTGCTTCCTCATTTCTAATTGCTTTAAAGATGTTTACAAGTCAGGGAAACGCTAATGAAATTGCTATTTCTCGAAGTGAGACGTTGAAGCTAAAATCATTATCAGAACTGACTAAAAACCAAAAAAGTGGAGATTTGGATGTTGAATCGGAGGATGATCTTACGTTCTCTCGAATTGCTTCTAAAAATAAACTTTTGAAGCTTAGCTGGTGGCATTCACCCACTCAAATACACGATGTAGAGGAGACATTAGTACAGCATAGAAAAAATGATAAAGAACCCAGCAATAAAACCAATAAGGTTGAGAACAATAATACTTTAGCTAACGGGTGTACAAACACGCCAGTAAGATCTGTCCCGTTACTCCAGTATAATCGTCCTGTCCAGGAACGCATCAATGATGAAAAAGAAGCAAGCATTCACGAGCCAAACGTCGATGAATTTTTTCCGAAAGATTCACACCGACTCGTTGATGGTATGTATAGGTCAAATCACAAAAAACCGGATTTTCGTTTTAGACAATTTTAATTAATTAGTTTACACGGAATTTGTTCATAATACCAATCAACTTGAAGTCAAGAATCAGTATTTATTTAATTATATATTTTATTTATTTAAAAATATATTTTTTTGCTATTTCTAATTGTGTGTGTTGGCACAACACTTGTCATGGATTGACTCTAGCTTTAAGTCGTCCATCAACCTCCACCTAAGTCAAATTTTTACGGAAGAACTACAAATACATCATGGATTAAGCTACCTTTACCGAAGGAAAAGCAGCCTCTAGTCTTTTAAAACTGCGATCACGGTACCTAACAAAGTTGAGTTTTCTTAACCAAAAGAGATGTCCGACATATTTGAAAAATATATGTTAGGATGATTGGTCTAAAAATATATTTTAGGGTGGTCGGTCTAAATTATATTTTTATACCCTTGCAGAGATATTTTAATTTCAATCAAAAGTTTGCAACGAAAGTTTGAAGGAGACCCTATAAAGTATATATTATATATTCTAGATCAGCATCACCAGGACAGTCGATCTAGCGATGTCCGTCAGTCCGCCCGTCCGTTTGTACGCAAACTAGTCCCTCAGTTTTAAAGCTGTCTGCTTGAAACTTTCTCAAAGTAGTCGTTCTACTGCAGGTAGTATATGCGTCTGAACGAGCCGGATCGGGCGACTACATCATATAGCTCACATAGAAACAATCGGGAAAAAAATTTTAAATATATAACTTCGTTGTTTTTTTTGTACAGTTGAATTACGGTTTTAATTAAATTAACATCTGACATTATATAGCTAACATCTATATTATATAGCTCCCATAAAAGAATCAAAAAATTAAAAAATACATAAATAAAAAAAGTTGTATTTTGCTGTTTTTTCTATTTATCAAAATATTCCTTTGAGATATAGTAATTATTTACTGTATCAGAATTACGCTTTTAGTTTTGTCAAAATAGGACAACAATATCATATAGTTGCCATAGAAACGATGACAAAATGCAGCGCAAAATCGACATAGCTTCTTTGTTTTAAGTAATATAGGCATGTAAGTCGAAATGTAGTCGCTTTGTAATAACTGCAAGGGTATATGAACTTCGGCTTGCCGTAGTTTGCTTCCTTTCTTGATTTAAATATATCAGATAAAATATATATTTTTTAATATATCAGACAAGTCTTTTGGTTAAAAAAACCAATCACATTCTGACACATTTTAAATGTGCCTGGTTTTATTGGAACATATTTTAGATTTACATGTAAGTGGTAATACTCTTGGCGATTGCTTTGAATTTAAATGTTGAACTAATTTGTAGCAATTTGCATCATGCAGTTTAGTCGCAAAGTCAATTGCTGTTGCTACTGTACTTATAAATTAAAAAAAAATCAACTCTATCCTATTCGTCTAAGAACAAAATAGTTATTATTTTTAAAAAGTGCTCCAAAACTAATAAAGAGCTCGAATCACTCTTATACACATTTATTATGTTTTTAAATATTGTTAAAAATCAATATCATTATGGTATCCTTCAATGTGGGGAATCACCAATACAATATACTTTGTGTAAACCTAAAGACCCGATTGAACCTGAAGTACCTTGTATCACTAATCATACAACATATTAGGTTGCCAATTAACTCCCTTCCGCTTTTTTGCTCTTTATTCAATGCTTTATAAAAATTGATACAGTGAACGGATTTAGGTAAAATATGCTCCGTTTTGTTCGACAATGTGTTCCCATTTAGACGGCAACTTAATAATACCTCCTTCGTAGAAACTTCCCTCCTTATTTGCGAAAAACTGTGACAGCCACTTTTCACAACCCTCTTTTGAGCCCAACTTTAAACCAGTAAGGGCATTCGCCATGGACAGGAACAGGTGGTAGTCACTTGGCGCTATGTCCGGGCTATATGGTGGATGCGATAAAATTTCCCATCCGAGCTCCCGTAGCTTCTGACGAGTCATCAAAGAAGTGTGTGGTCTACCGTTATCCTGGTAAAACACTACACCCTTCCTGTTGGCCAATTCTGGTCGCTTCTGGTCGATCGCCAGCTTCAAGCGGTCCAGTTGTTCGCAGTAGATGGTAGAATTAATCTGGCCATAAGGGAGCAGCTCATAGTGTATGATTCCCTTCCAATCCCACCAAACACAGAGCAAAACTTTCCAGTCACCATCCGCTTCAAAAATCGAGTTCATTCCGTTTCAGCAGCATATCGGCGTTGATTCTGTCCAACAGGTTTTTTTGCGTCAAATCATGCGGCACCCAAACATCCAGCTTTTTTTTGTATCCAGCCTTCTGCAGATGGTTTGGTGACTAACCCCTAAGCCGCCAAATTCAAAAACCAAAAAAAGCGGAAGGGGGAGATATTTGACGACCTGATATAGACTGGTCATTTCATATAACGAAAATGGACAAAAAAAAAAAAAAAAAAATTTCTTAGCGGCAGGCCTCATAATACAACATTTAAACAATACTATAAAATGTTGAAAATTCAGTGAGATATACCCTCGAAAAAAGGTGGTTTGCGGTGTACATCTTAACTGGTCACAGAATCATCTGAAATCAAAGACAAATTCACCGAAGTAACGCTGTAACGTTTCCGACCCTATAAAGTATATATATTCTTGTTCAGGATCACTAGCCGAGTCGATCTAGCCATGTCCGTCTGTCTGTCCGTATGAACGCTGAGATCTCGGAAACTATAAAAGCTAGAAGATTGGCATTTTGCATGCAGATTCTAGGAGTTCCTACACAGCGCAAGTTTGTTTCAAAAAGGTGCCACGCCCCCTTTAACGCCCACAATCGCTTATATACGATTTTAAAAATTTAAATATTTCGGAAAAGTAAAAATGCAGTTTTATTGTGTTTATCAATACCTATCGAAATGTAGAAAGTTATGCGTGATCAAAGTTTCTATCTCCATCTCCCTCGCACTCCCTTTACCTGAGTAACGGGTATCTGATAGTCGGGGCACCCGACTATAGCGTTCTCTCTTGTTTTTATTTAAAATTTTTAAAGGCACTAGAAAGTGTAAAACCTCGATTTTTTCCTAAAAATGTAGTTATTTGTTGTAGTAAAAATAATCAATTTTCCCAAAAACCAAAAAAATAGACAGCGCTACCTGAGGAATTTAGATTATATGCTATAGCTGCCATATAACTGAACGATTGGAAATGCCATAACTTTGGTGTTTTTAAAGTTAGGAAGTTTGGATTTTTTATGAGTATTAAGAATGCATCATATGAATAATTTTGGAGAATATAATTTACAGAGTATTCTGCAAGGGTATATCAACTTCGGCTCCGCCCGAAGTTAGCTTTCCTTTCTTGTTTTCTAATCACGTTGCAGAATTTGACGTGAGGATATGATTGCCAAGACAGAGATATTGTTAAAGAAAGGGGTTCGAGGATGAGAAGAGGAAGCGTCTCCTTCTCGTTAATTTTGCAGAGGGAAGGAGACATCTCCGACCCTATAAAGCATATATATTCTTGATCAGGGTCGCGTCCTCAGTTGATATAAGCCATATAACTGGATCGAAATTGTCATAACTTTGGTGTTTTTAAAGTTAGGAAGTTGGGATTTTCTATAGCATTTATTCAATCAATTAGGAAGTTGGGATTTTTTATGAGTATTAAGAATGCATCATATGAATAATTTTTGAGAATATAATTTACAGAATATGCTGAAAGGTGTATATCAACTTCGGCTCCGCCCGAAGTTAGCTTTCTTTTCTTGTGTATTTTTTTTTCTTCTTTGGGATTTGGTAATATTTAAATATTATGGAATTACGGTTTGAATTAAATTAAAATCGAACATCTATATCATATAGGAAAATCAAAACAAAAGGGAAAAAAAAAAAATTTTTTTGCTGTTTTTATACCCTTGCAGAGGGTATTATAATTTTGGTCAAAAGTGTGCAACGCAGTGAAGGTGACATCTCCGACCCTATAAAGTATATATATTCTTGATCAGGATCACCTCCTGAATTGATATAGCCATGTCCGTCTGTCCGTCTGTCTGTTTCTACGCAAACTAGTCTCTCAGTTTTAAAGCTATCGAGGTGAAACTTTGCACACAGCCTTCTTTTTTCTTTGCACGCTGTATATATGTCGGAACGGCCGGGATCGGCCGACTATATCTTATATCTGCCATATAACTGATTGATCGGAAATGCCATAACTTTGGTGTTTGTAAAGTTAGGAAGTTGGGATTTTCTATGGGTTTTATTTTTGGCCAATCAATCCGACCTACCAAAGTTCATAAGGATCGGCCGACTATATCCTATAGCTGCCATATAACTGAACGATTGGAAATGCTATAACTTTGGTGTTTTTAAAGTTAGGAAGTTGGAATTTTTTATGAGTATTAAGAATGCATCATATGAATAATTTTGGAGAATATAATTTACAGAGTATTCTGCAAGGGTATATCAACTTCGGCTCCGCCCGAAGTTAGCTTTCCTTTCTTGTTCTATTTATTAAAATATTCCCTTGAGATATAGTAATTATTTACTATATCAGAATTACGCGTTTATTTTTGTCAAAATCGGACATAGTTCTCAGAATCTTAACTTGGGCTCTCTGCACGATTTCTACGCTGCTGTTGCTGGCGCTCCCCCACAACTGTGAGAAATAAGTCCAGATTCGTTTTAAAACTGAGTTGTAGAGAAGGACCTTGTATTCCAGACTGAGGGGGGAGCGGGAGTTTATAAGCCAATGCTGACTGTTTGCGTTACGAGGCGAGATCCCCAGTGCCTATGCTTGGCGTTATAGTCTCCTGCTGCTATAAAGTATTTGCCTAGTGAGTTGAAGTAGTCGATAAATTGGGCTTCGGATATCGTGAATCGAGGAGGACATTATACCGCTGCTACAGCTAGATTGTGAAAACCCAACTGTGTATTGATAGATGTAATCATCCATCAGGATGATTAGTATTGTAAAACATATACCCTCGGATTTGGAAATTGTGTTTGTT